CCCATGCCCCATAAAAAGAGGCAACTGACTTAGGGACACTGAAAAGCTATATCCCAAGTGTTCAGGGTAGCAGCTGAGTCACCAGTGGGCAGCCAGGCCTACACCCTCCAGGAAGGACATGAGAGATGCCCAACAAGTGCTCCCACTCCTTACCTCACTGAAGTCAAGTGTCTGTCCTCGCACTCTTAGGAACCAGCTGACCTTGGCAACTTGGAACTTTGATAAATAAGGTAAATGTTAAAAAGACAGAAGGAGCCAGCCATTGCTGTATGAGCCTCAATTCTACTCCTAAGAAATGAAAACACGTATCCACACATAAACTATACAAGAAAGTTCACAGCAGCGTTACCCATTATAGCCAAAAGGAGGAAACAATCCACACATTCATCAACAGATCAAGGGGTCAACACATTGCAGTATGTCCATACAATGGAATATTATTCAGCTGCGCAAAGGAATGAACGTTTTCATGCCTTACAGTGTGTGAACAAACCTTAGAAACCTCATGCTCACTGCCCGGTATCGTGGCCCACCACTGTAATCTCAGCGATTCAAGAGGCTGAGGCAGGAGGATCACAAGTCCTAGGCCAGCCTCAGCAATTTAGCAAGACTGTCTCAAAAATAAAAAGGGGTGGTAGAAAACCCCCAGGTACAATCCCCTGTACCCACAAAACAAAACAAAAGCAACATGCTCAGTGACAGAAGCCAGACACAGAAGGCCACGTGTTCTATGATTCCCTTGAAAGGAAACGTCCAGAAGAGGCAAATCCTAGGGATGGAAAACACTGCAGTGTTTGCCTGGGGCGGGGGCAGGATGGAGCCAGCGAGGACCTCGAGTTCTCTGTTTGCCACTTGGGCAGAATCTGGCCGCCTTCTGCTCCTACAGAACTTTCCCACAAGGCCGGCCACCCTCTGGGGCTGCTTGGCCACGGGGTTCAAGGTCACCCCACTGGATGGTACAGCTCCAGACTGTTTCCAACAGAGTCTGGACATCATCTGAAGAGGGTGAGGATTTTTTTAACTTGATGGATTTTTTTGAGTCTCTAAATGAAAACCATATTGACTATAATCCCATTTAAGATCATGTAAATAAGCACCTTAAAAATGTCCTAAATAAAAAAGCCGACTTCCCTCTGGACCCCACAATTCTTCTTTGGGGTACACATCCCAAAGATTTGAAAGCAAAGACTCCAGCAGATGCTCGCGGTGAGACTTGCCGGGGATTGCTCACCATGGCGGAAGGTGGGAATGGGCGCCACGGGGGATGGACAAGTCCAGACAGCAGAATGTCATTCAGAGAAAGAGGGTGGGCATCCTGCAGGGGCCACAACCTGGATGAGTCCGAGACCCTGCCAAGCGAA